TTCTTTCTTTCTTTCTTTCTTTCTTTCTTTCTCCTTCTTTTCTTTCTCTCTTTCTGCCTTTCTTTCTTTCTTTCTTTCTTTCTTTCTTTCTTTCTTTCTCCTTCTTTTCTTTCTCTCTTTCTGCCTTTCTTTTTCTTTTTGAGTTGGAGCTTGACTCTGTCTCCCAGGCTGGAGTGCAGTGGCTCGCTCATGGCCACCCCAGCGTCCACCTGCTGGGCTCCAGCAATCCTTCCACCTCAGTCTTCCGGGTAGCCAAAACTACAGGTGAGTGCTACCACACCCGGCTAATGTTTGATTTCTTGTAGAGACGAGGTCTCGCCAAGTTGCCCGGGCTGGTCTCCCACCAGCGGGCTCAGGCAACCCACTCGCCTCGGCCTCCCAAAGTGCTGGGATGACAGTCTGAGCCGCCGAGCCCAGCCCCCACCCTGATCTTTCAAGTCTCTGTAAAGTCGTGTCTTCAGGGACGCTCTGAACAACAGCCTCATCCTTCCTCAGCCTCCGTGTTTCCTCCTTTTCATGCCTCTCCCGCTTGTTGTCTGCTTCTCCAATAGCCTGTACCTTCCAAGAGAGCAGGCTGGCATCTCTTTTGCTCAGTGCTGTATTCCCAGTACCTAGCACAGAGTCTGTGACACAGGAGGGACCCAGGAAGTGTGTGTAGCGTGGAGAAGTTGGGAGAGCACACTCACGTAGCTCTCCTGGTCCCGACAGGAGCTGTAAGCAAGATAGCACCCCAAGCTGCATCTGCACGCCATGCCCAGCTTCCAGATAGCAGGCAGTGAGCGTGTCTCCCTCCTGCTCCTAAACAGATCTTCCGTGTCTGGAGGTGACCCTCTCTTCCCGGGCCCACAGTTACGTGTGCGTCACCTGTTTGCACATCTCAGGGTTGCTCCCCTCCTTCCTGCACAGATGTTTTCTTGTGATGCCAACCTCCCCTGGGCACAGAGGAAGATCCTTACAGTTCAGTTCTTCTAGTGCCTTCTGACTCACATGCCTCTGACATGTGGATGGCAATTTCTGACAGTGGGGAGATTTCCTTGCCGGTCCCCAGAATGTGCTTCCCAGCCACCAGCTGACCATCCAAAAGAAGAGGTACTCTGAGATGCAAACTCAGTGTGTTATTAACTGAAACTAAATATAACTGGAGGAATAATTTTCCTGGGAAAAGCAGCGTGCGTTGAATTTCAGAGTAACATAAACACTTTAGATGACCTCATGGTCTTCCCCTCGGAGCGCAGGAGACACTGGACTTAGCACACCAGGCTCCGTCCCGAGGCCACCAGGAAGCTTGTGTGATTGGAAATGGAAGGGGAGACAGCCAGAAGGAGAGGCCCTGCCCAAAGTGTCCTGGGTGGGCCTGAGGCATCTGGATATTTGAGGATCTTTCCCTTTGGAGGGAAATATATGCCTGTGGGTATCAGGGCGTTGCTGCCTGCCAGAGGACAGGGAGAGGGGTTTTACGATCTTCACGAGCCAGTTCAGAAGTCCTTAAAGAGTGCATGAGTCAGAGCTGTGACGCGGGCCACTCCTGCCCAGGGCTTTTGGAAAACTACACGTGTCACCTGCAGTGTGCCCTCAAACTCCAGGCCAAAGCCTGCAGCCCTGGGACCTGGCCTGCCACTGCCTTTGGGGCTGCTGCCCTTGGCCCTGGCATCCGAGTGAGCTTCTCAATAACGGAAGATGGTTTTGGAAGCCGCAGTCACCACTGGAAATTCTGCTGTGCTTTGCAGTTTCCAAGCACATTTTATGTTTACTTCATTTCATTCTGACTTACCTCCTCTTTGGCAGATGCAGTTTTGAAACTTGTAGGTGTTAAGAGTGACTAGCCCAAAGTCCAGTCGTTAGCAAGCAGGCATGCTGGGATTTGACTGAGTCCTTTGGCTCCAAATCTCGTGTCATGCAGGGCTGTCCAGTGACTTATGGGCACCTTTGGAAATGGGGACAGCAGGGGCCTGGGACTGGTGACCCAGCACGTGCTAGGCGCTCTCTCTGCCCAATTGCTCTGGCTGCCCATGAGGCTAAGGTGTTAGCTAATGGTCGATAGAGTCCCTCTGGCACTTCTCTCATGAGAATGGCTGGTTTCTTGCTTCAAAAGGAGTCCTGGGCCTCCTTGAGCACTGCTAGTCTCTGAACATGCCAAGCGTCCCCACACCCTATGGAATTCACACCTAGTGGGAAGATCAAGCAGATTCTCCTTGTTCCCAAAGCTTGGTGACTGAGACAAGCCAAGAAGCAACATACCTCATACCGCCTCACTCGACAGAGGTCCTGCTACAAAGCTGGGCTGAGAACCACAGCTACTCCTGGGGTGGGGGAGTGGAGGACAGGGGGGCCTCACTTCTCAAGAGCTGGGCAAGAGCAGGTTCGGCCTATCCCAAGACCAACAACCAGTGAGTTTCCTGAGGTCTGCTGACTGTGCTGTGCTGCTGACGCCTGGTTCAGTGCCTGGAGCATTGTTAAGTATCTAGTACTGACCTGCGGATCACTGGTTGCCGTGTGGCTGGGCCTTGGCTGAATATGGACAAATTGCTTCCGATGGGACGGGAACACTGGAGGCTTCAGACCCGGAACTCAGCACATCCGCTGTGGTGAGATGGGTACCAAGGAGATGACCTGTCCTTGGGAACTCGGAGTCACCCTGGAAGTCACTAGACAATGGACCAAGGGTTCGGTGATAGCATGGGACAGTCCGAGGGCCTAAGGTGAGCTGGGGTGTCCCCAGGCAGGGCAGTATTCAGAAACAAGGAGGTAGCATCCAAGACCCAGCAGGGATCCAGAAAAGGTTTCGTCAGGAAAAGGGCCCTCATTGTCGTGGGGAGGGTGATGTGCAGGAATGAGACAGAGTTTCCACACGATGTGGGACCTGGGGGTGGGTGGCTTAAGATGTGGTCAAGGCAGGGCAGATGCCCAGTGATCAGAGCTGCCACCGGGCCAGAGACAGAGCCCAGGCAAGGCGAACACAGGGAGAGGCTGAGAGGCCTGGCTTAATTTCATGCCGCAAGCGAGGTCAAGAGACAGGCTCAGCCTACAGATGGGGTGCCAGGACAAGGCCAAGAGGGGAGGAAGTCCTCAGAGACAGCGGCCAGGGAGGGCCCGGCTAAGGCCTCGTTTCTGTCCAGTTTATGGGACGTGTGTCTGCCTCAGGGAGACAGCCTCCATAGGGCGACTTTATGAAAGTTACGAAGATGTCGGCATCTCCCAAGGAGCACAGAAAGGAGAGGCTGGGGCCTGCCAGTCCTGGGAGGTGTCACGGACACATTCCGTGGGAGTGAGGCTAATGCTGGGGTCGGCCGCTGTCTTGTCACCAGCCACATGCACCCCACTCTGTTCAGGCAGGTGCCCACCCTTGGGGCTTGTGGTCCAGTTGGGGAGAGAGACTGTGCCTGCCACGGACTTCAGAGCAAGCACAGAGTGGCCCTCGCACAGACAAGCCCAAAGGCCATCCCAAAAGGGGCATGGCGTTTTTGGAGACGTGAGCTGGGGATGGAAGGCAAACATTCCCAGAGAGGGAGAAAAGTGGCAGGAGAGGAGGAGATCTCAAAAAAGACAAAAAGCAGAGTCGGGGGAAGGGGACAGATTTCATCACGAAGTCATCTTTCTAGCACACCTATCGTCGTGCGGAGACCGCCTTACACGCTGCCTTCCATTCAGAGCCCGCTCCGCCAAGCAGAGCTTGCTTATTTTCCACGGAATCTGTGGGAAGTGACAATTCCCACAGAAGCATCCCCAGGAGCGAGAGGGAGGAGGCTGCTGTGGAAATGCTAGCCTGGCCCCAGGCTCTCCTCCCTTCTCCCAGGAGCGGCGGGGGGGGCAGGGGCTGAGGACAGGGAGCCAGGCATCTGGGGTGACCCTCTTCTCCCCTGCTGGCTGGAGAGGTTCGAAAGACGCCAGGTCTTTGCTCAGCCCAGCCCCGCCCTGCACCCCCAAGTCCTGGGGTGTCGGGGGTGCCTGAAGACACTTGCTTGGAGCTTCCAGAAGGTGTCTTCTTGTTCCCTTGACTGGGCTCCTGGCAACGCAGGAATTTGCCCACTGACCAGGGAGGGAATTGTCCACTAGGTTAGATGGACTCTCCACCAAGGCTGGGCCCATTCGATAGGCAGAATCCAGGGGCTCCCCGTTCCCACCACAATGGAAACCACCAATGAGCTCCCCCCAATGTCCTCTTCAGCCTTCTTTCTCTTCTAACACTAGCTGGCTTTCATACCTTCTTGAGTTTCCCTACTTTTCTTGTCTGACACTTGTGCACATGCAGTATTAAATAATTTCCACTGGGTTTTTCTCTAAGTACAAAGAGAATCTTATCTGCCCGGGCCTGAGGCTCAGAAGAGTCGGTGCAGGCAGGGGCTGGCTGGTGGTCTTAGCCCAGCCTCAGCTACCAGAGAGCTGGGGTGATGCCTACAGGTCTTACTCCCAGAGCTTTGGGGAAGCTGATGACGTACAGGGACATCAGAGGGTTATGGGCGCACAGGGACCATTGCTGGTGGACTCAGTGGCCTCTATCCAATACCCCTCACTCACACTCACACATAGCTAGGCAGCAGGTCCCGTCTGCACCCTCCCCCTCCCCGGGACCCATCGGCTCCACCCTCCATTTCTAAATGACCCCTCCTCCCTCCCAACACCTGGAAGGTCTTTTGCAAGAGAGGAGACATCGATGAGACTCAAAGTCTCAGAAGCTAAAGAATAATCCGGGACCAAACGGAATCAAGGCACCCCGCCAAGTCTGGCCAACCCATTGTGCTTCCGTCTGAGGCAGTTTCGGTGACCACGCGGGGCTAGATGTTCTCCTGACTGGTCTCCAGGCTCCACGCCGCGCCAGGCTGAGCGCGGCCTGCCGTTCTGGAGCACCCTGGGTTCGCCCCTGACCCCCCACCCCTGCTCCACAGCCCGCTTCTCGTAAGAGCATGACCCCCGAGCACACGCAGGCAGGGGCTGCTGCCTTTGAGCTTCTGCTCTCCCTCCCCAATCCTCCCACTTCGGAGCACTAGGAAGGCACGCGTCCCCTTGCTTTGTTCTCTTGTGTGTTTATTGAGCGCCCACGGAGTCCGTGGAACTATGCTCCGGGTCAGAGCCACGGTCTAGTCAAAAGGAGACCAGAACTAGTAGAGAGAATGTTTCATAGCTGCTTAATATCTGTTAAGGGGTGGGACAGGGCGAACTAATCACAAAACAAATTCCTATTTGAAAGCAACAGAATCTCCTCCGAGAGTAATATATAGTCTACGCACACGCGCGCGCACACACAGACGCACACACCCCTCCGAGCGGACACCTATGTGTTCCCACGTGGTTGCATATACAAGTGTCTGTGGGTAGCTAGTCGAATATAGATGCTGTTCGCACGCACGTGCACACACACACACGCACGCACACGCCACCGCACAGACGGATAATCTGGCTTATGCTATCAAAGACACTACGTCTCCAGGTTCTAGTAGAAGCAATCTGTCCTAGACACCCGCAGCATGCAAAACTCGGAAGACCCGGAGAGCCACAGTTAAGGAGGAGGGCGACAGGGACACGTGGGCACGCTACCATCCTCCGGCCTCGCCACAGCGCGCGGGGTTGTTGCTGTCTGTGGGCAACGACAAAGCCTTCCGGAAGGGCTCCCCCGGGGCGGGGCGGAGGGGCAGGGGGCCCCTGCCCGGTGGCGGGGCCCACGGGGGCCCTGGAGAGTTCACCAATCTTCAAGGCAGAGTTGCAGCTCTGGTGTCCAAGTGTGTAGTCCTGCAAACAGTGTTCTTTGGGACGGTGCGGCAGATAGATGGAGGTGAGACTTCCTGTTCTCGCTCGCTCTCTGCGGCGCCGCACGTGCGCTAACGCATCTTGTAGTCATTAGATACAGATGTTTCGCACAGCTGTCCCTTAAAATCCAAGTCTACTGTGAAATCGAGGTCTCGCTGCAGAGAGAGAGCGCAAAGGGCCGCGGCGTTAGTCCGGGTGGGAAGCGGCAGCCCCATCTCCTGGCACTTCGGGGGTGGGTGGCTATGGTGTCCTTGGGTGCTGCAGCTTAGGGCTCCCATGAGCTGCCCTCGGGAATCTATTCCGCTGCCTTGTTTTCCGCACGAGACGTTCTTCCCTTCCTAACCTAAGTCCTTCCTTTACATTCTAAACTTACTGTTCCCTCTGATTTCGTCCTGGGAGAAAACCCATGGGGATGGTTGAGTCTACTGTGGTGTGACCCTCAAAGCATTCTGTAGGTTCTTTCAGTGCAATGCCCACACCCCAGGCTGCTCAGAAAAGCCAGACTGTCTCCAGCCCACCAGGCCTGCTGGAGAAGTGCACATCAAACGCCCCTCGGGCCACCAGAGGCAGTTTTCTCCTGGTTTAGTTAGTGCTAAGTGAGGAAAACCCACGTATTCGACAACCTCTGTTCTCAAAGACCCTCACAGGAGGGCTTGGAAACTGTCCTCGAAACTGAGAGAGGCCAGAGAAGGACCCAGAGAAAGCCTCTAGCTGTTGAGTTCTGGGAGGCTGAGGCTGGGGGCCTTCAATTACGCCTAGTCACATGCAGATATGGCCACCTTCCGCCTCCCTCCGTGATGCTTCTGTCTGTGCACGTGACACCCAAGAACCCGGATGCGTGGGCCCTGGGAGCGCCCTAGGACCCAGCTCCAGGTCCCCTCTCCTCTGTGATCCTGGTCACACAGAAGCAGCCCCAGCACTCACCACATTTTTGGCATTTGGCTTCATGGATATGGTCCCGTAGATTTCCTCCCCTCTCCGGACAGTGAGGTAATCTTCCAAGTAGAAGACAGTCTGCTTCCAGTGGGTGTAGGGAGCATCAGGGGCTGAGGGGGAAAGAACAGGGGAGGGGGAAGAAAGAGTCAGAGATGTCTCTGGAAGGGATGAGACTGGGACCCTGTACTGAAGCTGCTGGGCTTCCCATGGGGCTCACGGACACCACCCCAACCCAACACTTTGGTGGAGTCAGGTGTGCCCATTCCTTTAGCCCGTCTCTGAGCCGCCATCAACCTCCACACTTGGCCTCAATGGCCACCCTTCCTGCCACATCCTATCTCTTCACCGCTGATCTTAGCCGGGCATCCGAAGAAAAAAACACGCCGACGTCACAACTTTACACCAAGGGGTGGATGCTGAATGCCCTCTACCAGCTCAACTCGTGAACACAGATGAGTCTCAAAGTGCTATTGCTTTTAATTCGTCCAATAGAGTGAAGACCTTCAGACAGCGTGCAGGCTCTGTTATCTCCCCTCAAAAGATGTCATTTATGCAAACTCTACAGCTAAACTCATTTCTCCAGTTCCACTGAGATCACAGGTACTTGTTTCTCAACCCTACAGACAGCATTCCCTACTGGTGCACACCTGTAATCCCAGCACTTTGGGAGGCCATGGTGAAAGGACTGCTTGAGGCCACAAGTTTGAGACCAGCCCGGACAACATAGCAAGACCTCATCTCTGCACAAAATAAAAAAAACAATTTGGTGTGGTGGTGTACATGGAGTCCCAGTTACTCGGGATGCTGGGGATAGAGGATAACTTGAGCCCAGGAGTTAGAGGCTGCAGTGAGCTACGATCACATCACTGCACCCCAGCCTGGGTGATAGAGCAAGACCTTGTCATAGCAAGACCTCATCTCTACGCAAAATTAGCTGGGTGTGGTGGGAGGCACCCGTAGTCCCAGCACCTCAGGAGGCTAAGGCGAGAGGCTTGCTTGAGCCCAGGAGTTTGAGGCTGCAGTGAGCCATGACCATGCCACTGCAATCCCACCTGAGTGACAGAGCAAGACTCTGCCTGTTTCTCTGTGCCAGGACACCAAGCCTTGCACCTCACGCACCTCAGTCCAGGCCTGCTATGTCTTCCTAACCAGATCAAAAGAAACGAGGCGTGCTTCTGGTTCTGCAGTCCCAACTCCGGTCCACCGTGCACCCATCCTGCATGATCCAAAGCACGATCCTCATGCCTCCCCTGTGCCTGCCATCGAGTCCCACCCATCCCCTCTGGGCACACGGCACGCTCTCCAGCTGCATGTGCAGCGTCCTGCCTCATGAGCCCTTGGCCTCAGAGCAGCTGTCTTTGGAAGGCTTCCCCTTGCTCTATGCCAGCCTCTCTCTCTCCCTCGTCCTTCTCACCACTTCCTCGGGGAAGGAAGCCTTGTCGGAACCCCCAAGCCTGGCTCCAGGGCTCCCACAATCTCCTGGGCTTACGTTATCTTGGCATTTGTCGCACCCCAATACAAGTGTCTCCCCCCCACCTTGTTTGCATCCCTGTAAGCCTCAGTCTCCAGGCGGGCAGGGGCTGTGCCAGTCTCTCTCTGTGCTTCAGCCTCCGAGCTGCCATTGGCTTGGTAGGTCTCCAAGTACTCAATAAATGAATGACAGTAAGAACCCAACAGGCAGATCTCTTGGGACACGTCAATGGACCCACGGATATTCAGTTCCACAGGGGCCTTTGGAATCTATGGACAGTGGAAGAATACACTTTATAGTGAGTTTTTCTTGCTTTAGGCGCTTGCCTTTCTCCACCAGGTTTCCTCTTTTTTAGGACCAGTGGAAAAGTTGAGAGACTGGGGAAGAAGATGATAAGAGCCTTTCAAACACTTTGAAAGCTGTCGCATGAAAGATTTATATGTGGCCTTATACAAAAAGGGACCCAAAAAACCCAGAATTATCTTTGGGAGGATGGGCCCCCCGTAGGACAGGCTTCCCCCATAGGTAAGTGTTCTAGGAACCCATTGACATCAGTGTACCAGCTAGAGTTGTTGTGAGAGGCTGCATTCGGCTTCAGTGAATTTTTTTTTTGGAGTCTTTCGATGCCCATTTCAGAATGAGTGATTTACAAATCCACCTGCTCACCACAGGCTGAGTGTTCAGCAGTTTTTAACCAAAAATGGTATGATCTCCCTGGGGCCTCACCCACCCTATTTACCTCATCTCGCTCCAAGCGACAGTTTTTTTTGGTTTCCCCCGGATGAAAAAAGTCCTCAAAGGGGAATGTTTTGCCTTGGAAATGTAGAAGAAGTGAAGCAAAAAACAGCAGAAGCGTTAAAAGTCATCAAAAAGGATGAGTTCAAAAACTGTTTTGAAAGCGCCATCTACAATAAACCGGCAAATTGCTAAACATACAGAAACTGGAAAATTACCCTTCAAAACTGGGACAAGACAAAGCTGCCCACTCTCATCCCTCTTGTTCAACATCGTGTTGAAAGTCCTAGCCAGAGCAATTAGACAAGAGAAGGAAATCAGGGGTATCCAAATAGGAAAAGAGGAAGTTAAGTTATCCCTCTTTGCTGATGATATGATCCTACACTTCGAAAACCCAAGAGAATCTGTCAAAAATTTCCTTTCACTGATAAAGGACTTTGGCAAAGTTTCAGGGTACAAAATAAATGTGCAAAAGACAGTCACATTCTTATACTCCAACAACAAGCAGGCAGAAAACCAAATAAAAAACACAGTCCCAGTCACAATATCCACAGAAAAAAATGAAATACCTCAGCATCTTTCTTACCAGAGAAGTGAAAGACCTTTATAATGGAAACAACAAACGCTGCTCAAAGAAATCCAAGAAGACACAAACAAATGAATACACTCATGAACAGGAAGAATCAACATTGTTAAGGTGCCCGTCCTACCAAAGGCAATCTACAGATTCAACACAATACCCATTAAATTACCAACATCATTCTTCTCAGACCTGGAAATGACAATACAGAAATTCTTATGGAAACATAAACAACCACGAATAGCTAAAACAATTCTTAGTGAAAGAAACAAAGCAGGAGGTATCACACTTCCAGACTTTAAGCTTTACTATAAGGCTACAATAAGCAAAACAGCCTGGTATTGGTATAAGAATAGGCATATGAACCAATGGAACAGGATAGAGATTCCGGAAGCAAAGCCTCAATTTCTCAACCAACTCATCTTTAACAAAGCCTCCACCAACAACCACTGGGGAGAGGAGAACCTATTCAGGAAATGGTGCTGGGAAAACTGGCTGATCACAAGCAGAAGATTGAAACAGGACCCTACCTATCACCATATACAAAAATCAACTCTAAATGAGTCAAAGACCTAAACATAAAACCACAGACGATAAGAACCTTAGAAAATGCAGGCGACACTCTTATGGAAATTGGAACTGGCAACCAATTCCTGATCAAAGCCCCAAATGCCCATGCCATAAAATGGGGCATCATCAAACTGCAAAGCTTCTGCAAAGCAAAGGAAGCCATCAAGAGAGCAGGGAGACAGCCCACAGAATGGGAAAAAGTATTTGCCAACTGTATATCTGACAAAGGCCTAACATCCAGGATGTATAAGGAACCCAGACAAGCTGAAAGGAAAAAAAAAATGGCCCCACTAAAAAGTGGGCAAAAGACATGAATAGACACTTCTCAATAGAAGATATACGGGCAACTAACAGACACATGAAAAAGTGCTCAGCCTCACTCATCATCAGAGAAATGCAAATCAAAACCATATTGAGATACCACCTAACCTAAGTAAGAATAGCCATCATTAGTAAAACTAACAAGGGACACTGGCGAGGATGCGGAGAAAAAGGAATACTTCTACACTGCCAGTGGGAATGAAAACTAGTGCAACCTCACTAGTATGGCAGTTTCTAAAAGAATTAGACATCGACCTTCCGTACAACCCAGCAATCCTCCTTCTGGGAATACACCTGGAGGAACTCAAATCATTCTACAAAAAGAGATACCTGCACATGCATGTTTATTGCAGCACTATTCACAACAGGAAAACATGGAACCAATCATGCTGCCCATCAGAACTGGACTGGATTTTTAAAATGGGGTACATATACACAATGGACTATCACACAGCCATAAAGGACAAACATACGGACTTCGCCTCAACTTGGATGGATTCGGAGTCTATCGTACTCAGTGATCTATCACAGAAACAAAAAACAGAGTGCCACGTGTTCACACTCATAAGCAGACCCTGAACATTTACCATAATACTACAAGAAAGAGATTGGCAGTAGTGGGATACT